CTCTCTCTCTCTCTCTCTCTCTCTCTCTCTCTCTCTCTCTCTCTCTTCCCCGCCCCCTCTCTCTCCCCCACCATCTCTGCCAGTGTTTGGACAACCCCAGTGTTTTCTAAGCCATTTTACTGCACAGTTGAATCACCTGAGGATCTTGTTGAAATGCAGATCCTGATTCAGGAGGTCTGGGATGGGGCCTGAGGTTGTGTTTCCACCGAGCTCCCATGGGATGCCAATGCTGCTGGTCCCCGACCTCACTTTGAGGAGGAAAGTTCTAGGAAGCAGCCAGGGCCAAGCAAGAGTGACCCAGATTCTCAATGTAGGGTTCAGATGTAAGGAGACTCCCGGGGGGGGCTGCAGGGCTGCCCTCTGTGGTTGTGCAGGCGGTGCACTGAGCAAGCCGGACAGCGCTGGTAAAGGCAGCCCAGGGCTGCTCATGAAGCCGCGTACCTGGAGCTGCTGGCGTTGCCTGGGGAAGGAAGCCCGTTTTCCTTGGTACGGGAGGCCAGTACAGGCTGTGTTCTCGCAGGGCAGGTCCACTCTGAAGGGCCATCTTTTTCTAATTTTGCACACAGGCATCAAACAGCCTTGCCCCCAAACTCCAGGCTGTCACTCTGTGCCTGCTTCTGCATCCCCTTGTTCCTCCTCCCTCACACTGCCCAATGTCACAGCTTCTCCTGCAGAGTATGGAAGTCCGGGGAGAAGGGAACTAGAGTGTATCATGCTTATATGTCAAGACCCAGATTCTCCCTTCAGTCACTCCAGCCCCACCTGGGTGCAGAGAGTGGGCTTGGGGCTTGCTGAGCCCCAGAAGCCTAGGAAACAGGCCCTTTCCTGCCTCTTGCCCCCTTCCCTGCCCACAGAGTTCAGCTGGAAGGGTTAGGCTAGGACAGCCCCTCTCTCCCCAGCGGGGAGAGGGACCAGATCTGCTGAAGAGAGGGCTTATCCCTGAGGAAAGATACTCAGTCCCCCCACCAAACCCGGCCTACACACCCCACCCCAGCACACACACACACACACACACACACACACCCCAAACGCGGTCTCTCTGCCTGGCCCGTTATTAATTGCCATGAAGGCTGAGCGGAACAGGTCCCATAAATATGAGCTCTGGCAGCGCCAAGGAGCCGGGGCTTGTGCTGGGGCCCTGCAGCTTATCTCTCTCAGCCAGGCTTTCCCTGCACAGGACGCCACTGGCATCTAACGAGCCCTCCTGTGTGCCAGGCCCGGGGAGGGCAGACAGGCCCAGCCCTTCCCGGCTCCGCCCTGCTAGCTCCCAGCTGAGTTCAGGCTTTCCTCTTACCCTGCTGATGCCCGCAGCCGGGGTGGAGTGGAGCCACAGCCACAGCACAGGCCTCTGCAGCAGGCTGCCGTGCCCCCTGGGCCTGAAGCCCCCTCCCCCTTTCTGCTTCAGACCTCACTCCCCTCATGCCTCAGCGCCGCGGAGCCAAGGACTGCATTGGATGGCCTCGTCATTCTTCCTGCCTGCTTGGCGTGGTATCAGCGGGCAGGTGTGCAACGCAGGGTCCCTGGTGTTCTTGCAGTTGGGTCACCTCTTCTCTTTCTCCCTCTTTCCCAAGCGCCTACCTTCCTGACAGCCTGTCATCTCACACCCCCCGCCCCCGACTTTGCGTCCACAGCCCCTGTGACCATCACAAGAGGAAAGAGTCTGAATGCTTATTTTTTCCACCTCTCCGTCCCACCAATAAATAGAGTAAAATACACAGTTAATGCTTACCGGACAGCTAATGCTTATCAAACACGTCCTGTGCGCCAGAAACTGTGTTCAGCACTTTCTAGGCATCGTTGCATTCTTAGACCACTTTGGAGAAAGGTGTGTTCACTCTCCCCATTATGCAGATGAGGAAGCAGAGGCCCAGAGGTGTTAAGTGACTACCCAAGGTCACACAGCTTGCTAGCAGACACCACAACAGGCACGACAAATAGAGTACCTCTATTTGGACACTCTCCTGTGACATGGAGCTCCCAGCTCCTTGGGGTCATCCAGGACAGGTTCAGGCATGCCTAAATTATTAGAAGATTCTTCCTATGTTGAGCTGGAATATGCTGGCCTGCCACTTGCGCTGCATCTATCCAGGTTGGCTGGCTGGGATTAGGGTGAGTCTGTGATAGTGTAGCCATGGGAGGCTGCCATGGGGTTGAACCCACCACCTCGGCCCCATTAGCACCAGCATGTAAGGACTTGTAAGGAACAAGGGGGGCCTCAGAGTAATCCCTTCTTCCCAGGACTCCCCCAGCTGTGGACCCCAGGGCTTCATCTCCTCTAGCTTTGGGCTGGGGCAAATAGTACTCCCAAACCCCTGGAGGTAATAAGTCCGGTGAACCCATTCAGGATTCTGAACCCCCTTGGTTGGGGGTTCCCAGACTCCATTGGCACTCACATACTTCCAGAATTACTCTGTTTCTTCCATTCGAAGATGCCCATTGGCCCCTTGTTTTGAAATATATGAAGTTGAAATTCATCTGAGCTAGTCACCTACAGTCTTCGCCTGCACAAATGGTGACCACACTCACCTCGCCAGAGGTGACTGCTCGCAGCTCCTCAGCCCTGCTCCATAGGAAATAGCTCAGGGCCCTGTCCTTGGGAATGTGGGCGTGGATCACCCCTCCCGTCCCTAGGGGCAAGCCACTTTGAGCTGGGTTAGGGACCTGAGGACCAGGGAGCCTCCAAAGGCCATCAGTGCCCTGACCCTTCTAGCCATAGACAACACCCACACTTGGCAGTTCCTGTGCAGGCCGGAAGTGCCGACATTTGTAAGCTCCCATACTTGGTCCGCTTCAGCGTTAGTGTGGTCCCTCAGCACTGGCCCCTTCGGACCAAGATGTTCCTCTGAGTGTTCAGGTCAGAACCAAAGATGGGAATAGCAGTATTAATTTTTACATTCTGCTCCCAAGCTGAGTTTTATAAGAAGTTGAAGAGTTTGGGACTGGACTGAATATTTTTCCCTCTTGTTCAGAAGACATTTAGTCCTCAGGGAAACTGCTCGTCAGCCCTCCCGAAAAGGGAGAGTCCCTCCGAGGCCCCTGATATCCACAGCAAAAGGCAGAAACAGCTGCTTGGGAGCTGGGGTTGAGACCTCTCCGGGGGGCTGGGTAGCTTGAGGCATCAGGACCTCCTGGAGGGAAGCCAGTTGGCCCCCTCCCTCCCCCACCCCAGCCCTCCCCAGAAGTCCTCAGGCAGGAAGGCTCTAATTGATGAACTAGTCCCTCTGTAGCTGTCACCCGTCTTCAGTTCATTACGACCCCATCTGCCTCTCACTGAGGCTGCTCTGCCAGCCTCCCGGCTGTAGCTGGGGGAGAAAGCACACACAAGAGCAGCTGGGCCTTGGAGAGGCCAATCAGGGTAATGGCAGGTCCTTCTTCAGGGCAACTGAGTGTTGGGACAGGGCTGGTGGAGGAAGTGGAACTCTAGGAGGCAGGTTAACCCTTAGCCTTCTGAACCTGGAGGCTGGGACCACAGCCAGCACCTCCTTCCACCCCCCAGGGGGCCCTCCCTGAAGGCCACCTGGATGACTCTGAGCTAGACTGAGGCTCAGACAGCCTGGCCTTTCGGATCCCCACCCTTGAGCTTGCCTGACGCTAAGCCCTGGAGCTTTCAGATGAACAGTATTCAGCTTGACCCCTGGCAACTGTTTTTAGTTGTCAGTGTGCGCCCAGCACTAGAGCTAGCGCCGTGGGGCATGGCAGCCCCCTGCTGTCCCGGCATCTCCTGGCTGGGCTCCACCTCCCAGTGGAGCATGGGTCTCTGGTACTGCCTGACTCAGACGGCACTCGGGGCGTGTGCAGATGAATGAGTGGGCCGAGACGCAGCATGACAGGCTCCAGAAACGCAAGCCCCCCTCATTCTAGCCCTGTCTCTGCCACTGGTCAGGAGACCTGGAGTGTCGTTTCCTATTGAACTTCGGCTTCCTCACTGGCACAATAAGGATGTGACTACCTCCCTGCCCACCTCACAGGGTTAGCCCTGCCATGCTGTATTGAGCCTTCCATTTTATGTGTAATAAATTCAACAGATACTTATTGGCTCCTAGGAGATGGAAGACACACAAACGCCCCACAGCCCTGGATCTGGGAACTTCTAGCGAGGGAGACACACAGAAACCCACATAACTGTGAGCTGAGGTTGGCTGGACGGGACACATGCAAACAGCTGCTGGAGGTGGAGGTTGAATGGCGCTTGGTGGGGGAGGCAGCCTTTGCCCCTGCTGAATGGGCTGAGAAGGAGGGAAGGGCAGCCCAGGCAGGGGAAGCGGGTGTCAGCACGAGGAAAGGTGTGGAATCGGCAAAGGGCCAGTTATGCTTGGGAAGCAGTAAGAAGAAGTCCTGGAACAGGCCCGTGGACATAAGGTAAAAACTTAGGTTGATTAGACCCTCGATATAAAGGACCCCAGATACCCCAGTCAGTAGTTTGGATTTTTTCCTCTTAGGCAGTGGAGAGGGGTAGAGGGCTTTGGGGCCAGGGAAGGATGCAGTCATGGCTGAGCTTTTGGAAAGGGTCTCTGGCGACTGCAGAAAGGATGGATGGTGGCGGCAGAGTGAGGTGTGCAAATATTCTCTGCCCCCTAATTACCACCACAGACTGTCTAAATCTGTAACTCCCTGTTCTAGAAAAGGCATCTTGTCCCACTTCTCATTTCCCTGCATTATTTTTTCCTGAGGTTTCAGAAAGCATCTCCTTTGAGGCTCCCACCGTCCCCCACCCCTATTCCTGGCCAGGCTCTGGATTTTAACCATTCTATTTTCTTTACCGATTTTATGATAAACAGCCCAATGTTTTCCGATGCCTTTCCTAAGTGTGTCAGGCCGTCCCTCCAGGCACTGATGCGTCCCTTCACTCCGAGGTGCCCAATCTCATCCCCACCTGGATATGTGATTGTCCCCGCATCCCACTGGTTCCTTCCAAGTGGCCGGCACATCTCCAGCCCCCCCCACCCAGATCTGTAAGATTTGGGGGCGAGTGTCCATCATCTCAGGCTGAATCTGGGTCACGCTGGCTCATAAACCAGCCCATGGAACAGGCCCTCTCAACTCAACCTAAGGACATCTGTCCTGATTTTTTACATTTTTTCCGCATCTGGAAGGGCTGACTGCCCCTACCAACCACTAAATTACCATCAGTCTGCCTAGCACAACTCCCCATTGTCCTGGGATCCCCCAGTCCCACTCACCAGCTGCTCTACCCCAATTCAGTCTTGTGTTGCTGATATAGAAATAAGTTTATTTAAACCTCTCTGAGCTGGGGGCTTTCTTGAATTGTCTCCTATTCCTAGCGTTCAGAAGAATCTCGCCAGCCTGACAAGCATGCCCATCTCCATTGCCCCCAAAATGTTGCCACCACCGCCATGCACATCAGAGCCAACAGTTAAACTCATAGGATGGTCAGACCAGGTTACCTGAAACGTTAGACTCGGTGGTCTTTTAAGGGTCTTTCCCCTGCCCTGCTTCCAGGTCCATTGGCTCTGTTCTGAGGGTGGTGATCGCTACCTATACTGGACGCCAGGGGTAGGGCAGGTCTAGACACTGCTATGGGCTACTTGGCTTGGGACCAAGGAGTGAGGCTTGGGGATCTATAGGATTCCTTTTGCTCTAAACTCCAGGATCCTGGAGGCTCCCCGCCAGCTTGGACTGGCAGAGGGAAGAGGTCCTTTCATCCGAGAAAGCCAGTAATTCCTGGCCTGGAGCCTGAAGAGCCCCCATCGTCCGCTCCCTGCGCGGGCGGCCAGGAGACGGCCCCTCGGAGCTAGACTCACTCTGCTGCCGGCCTGCGTCCTCTGAGGCTCTTCAGGGAAGCATGGCTGCCCGCCCGCTCCATGCCCAGTCTTTCCATCCAGGCTGCTCGTTGCACTATTTATGGCTTGGAGATGGTGGTTTATGGAGCAGGAGAAAGACAGCAGTGGAACCGAAGGAAGGGCAGGCTGGCTGGGGGCGGGGTGGATGGGGCTCATAACCTCTGGTTAAGCCCAAAGACATTGTGTAAATTATGGCCCGTGTCTTCCTTCATCCCCATTTTGCATTCTTGATCAGATCATCGCTTTCTGCTGGGAGAGGGCTGAGGGCTGATCTGCCCCCACCCCCACCCCCCCACGGGGCCCAGGCCCCTCCGGACTCCTGGGTCTTGTTCCAGGGAGCAAGGAGTCTTCACAGCCACAGGCGCCAAGAGTCTGCTCATTTTTCAAGTTGATCCTGACTCACAAACGTGTTGGGCTTCATGGCATCAGAGAAGGCTTTGCTCCACATCCCGATAGCCCTAGAAAACTGCCACAAGTTGAGGCCATTCAGTGGGTCTTAAGGAACAGGAAGAAAGCTTCGCTGATGGGAAGATGCCCATCATAATGGGCCTTTACTGAGCGGAGCTGGTGGGGAAGGATTTGACCTGCGTCTGCCCAGTAGCAGGGTTTCGAGTGTTCCCCATGCCCAGTGGCATTTGCCCTGGGGCTGGCTAGCTGGAGGAGACTGAGCCCTGAGGTGACACCCACCCACCACCTCCACAGAGGCAGGGACTTGGTTAATCAGGCCGGCGCAGAGCTGGGGCCCACTTCCACCCTTGTGCACTGGAAATGTAATGATTTATGCCAGGCAAGTGACATCACATCTCCACTTTGCTATCATCCAGAAGTGCCGACCAGGCAGGTCTCTGCATGTGGCATGAGTTTGGACACCAAGGAAAGTGCCTGAAATTGACACGGACATTGTCAACCCAAGACGGTCAGGGAAACTGCCGAGGAAAGGCCGCGTTCTCTTGGCTGAAGTTCTGAGTCTGCGCGTCGAGGGATTAGCTGCCCTGGGCTGCACCCCGGCTGGGTGTCAGAGGGCAAGCAGGAGGGCAGGTCCCTTCGGCCTTGGTGTGGCCCCTGCCCTCAGGCAGCCCACATTCCCATCACAGGATGGAGAACCTAAAACAAAAGGAGTTCATGGGGACAG